TTTTCATAAACATTTACAGAGATTTTGGGTTTCCATTCATTCATTGTTGCACTATTCTCTCTACCCTCCTCCCAGTTTGTTCTTGTCCAAATGCCACTAAAATGTATGTCCAACATTTTAAAAACTAATTTTACCTCTTTAGTTGCTTAAATCATTATTAAAAATCAAAACTGGGACAAAGAAATGATGGAGAAATATTATCATACCTATAAGTACACCCATATTTAGCCTATGAATTTTCTTCCTAAATTTATAGTGTGCTTACCAATTATCTAAAAGAGAATATAAATTTTAAATAAATTTGGAATCCAAATGCAAAAACTGACAAGCAAGCTTCACAAAGGGCATTGGCTATGCTTTTATTTTTGTTTCTAAGACATTCCAAAGAGTAACTATTCTAACAAATGAACTATTATGGAGATTAGCTCCTTTCTTCCTTTTATTTACCACTTAAGGTTATGCTTTATTCTTATTTGAAAGTATTTACATTAATGCAAATTATAACTCCTGTTTTCTGTGAAGTAAAATTCAGTGTACATGGCAGTCAGCAGACCCTGACAAGGTCTGTATATTATAGCTAACTTCAGCCCAACTGAAAATAATTTTGATATTTATAGTTTCTTAAGAGAGAAAAAAAAACCATTTTGTGACATGTGAAAATGAAGTGAAATTCACATTTCAGTGTACATATAGATAAAGTTTTACTGGAATATCAATATGCTCATTTGCTTACCATGTGTGTATATTTGTATATATAGGGAACTCTGGTGGCCTCATGAGTAAGGAGTTGCACTGCTAATGCAAAGACCAGCACTTTGAATCCATCAGCTGCTCTACAGAAAAAAGATGGGAATTTCCTCCTGTGCTATTTACTGCCTGTGAAAAACTGCTAGAGGGTCAGCTATGAGTTGGTTACAACTCAACAGTACACAATCTCAACACTATATGTACATATGTGTATACATATATGTGTGTATGCTTTCACCCTATAATTCAGCTGAACAGGGAGTTCTGGTGGCCTAGTGGCAAGAAGCTGCGCTACCATCCCGAAATCTGCGGGAAAAGGATGGGCAATCTCATCCCGTGCAATTAACTGACCCCAAAAACCCGCTGGAAGGTCAGCTATGGGTCAGTTCCGACTCAACAGTACACAGCAACAACACAAGGGCAATGCCAGAGACTATATGACCCACTGCGCCGAAATTATTTACTATCTGACCCATAACAGAAATAGTTTACCAATCTATAAGAAGTATTGACCTTGTAAATAATCCAATAGAAAAATGGGCACAGGATATGAACAGACACTTCACCAAAGAAGACATTCAGATGGCCAACAAACACATGAAGAAATGTTCAAAATCCCTAGCCCTGAGAGAGATGCAAATCAAGACAACTATGAGATATCAT